GAATCAGTACTTCGGGTTTAGCGTCAAACAGTCGTTCACCCTTCTCCTTGGTGGTTTGTTCCAGAACATCAAACTGATCGGCCAGTTCCTCAATCTTGTTCGAGATTGCGGTTGCAAATTCAGGCCTCTCCTTGGCGCGTTCCCATTTGGGATGCTCGACGTGCAGCAACTGTCTGGCGAGTTGATTAACTACAGCCACTCTAGGCGCGTTCGAGTTCATCTCTTTTTCAACGCCATCGTAGCGGTGTTTCATGATTTCCACGTCCTCAACGTTCTTTAGTTTACCTTCAACGGTTGACTTCAGGTCTTCCAATTTCTTAGCGTCGTCTTCCATTTTATCTAGCATTTCGTTCATCATCTCTCTGTTGTTGTTCATTTTGTCCATTTTTTCGTCCATTTTCCTACTGTAGTCTTCTATTAGTTCTTCTACTAGTTTCTTATGTCTATTCTACCGCTTTCGTAGTACTTGACCTGGCAACACTGGTCATGTTGTGAAAATTTTAACCATATTTTCCAATAACAAAACAAAGTGGTTACTTAAGTGATTCTAATTTGCTTCACAGGAATTCGTAATGCACAGAGGTTTCGTCGGCTTTTATATTTGGTGCTTTTTACAACCTTGTCTTTTTTTTATCGATTTTCCAACAGCGGTAGGAAATATTTCTTCGATCGATCATATTTGATGGTCATACTCCGGAGTCATAGAAAAGACAAGCCCGGAGTATAGATTATGAGTGAAGTATTTCAGTGCTTATTTTAACAAATATCTTAAATGGAGCATATGTGTGGATGTTATTGTTAATAAGGCAAAAAGGCACTTTATATTTTAAGGTCAGTATGAAGAATTTAGTGGGTGTCAAATACAGCCACCCTTCTGATTATATTTCAGGTTTTAGATGCATCTCATTTAGATTTCGAAGCAGCCCTCTTGAAACCAGTTAACCAAAAAACACTCAACCAATATGCTGAATATAGTTTAATGCGGAGGCCTTTATATTTGCCTGCTTTAGACGAGATCCACCCCTAGAGCAGCATTCTTGGCTGCAGCTACTACCTATGGTGGAGTTGGAGCAGAAAAGGAAAGTTGCAGCTGTAAAAACTAAATCTTTATCTATAGATATTAAAATTTGAAGATGAAAATCCAGTTTGCTGAAATGTTCTTTGTTACACGTATGTACCGATGCTCTTATTTATATGAGCATCTAATTTATTTAAAGATAAATAGGTAGCACCTTTTAAGAAACGTTATCGTTAACTGATGATCATGTTGTTATCATCAATTGTAATTGTAACTGAACTGCTATAAAGATGTTCAGCCGATTATTGATACCTTGCTTTATAACGATGACAAATGTCCGCCAAAAACCATTATTAAATAACGATTTTATTTATTATAACTTATATTTTCCAATGTGTAATGTATGTAACAAGTGTACAAAATATCAAAACATATTTATGCAATTGCTTTGCCAGTGTATTTTTTATCCCATAACCCTAAAAAGTCTAAAATAAAATTGAATATGGCGCCAAATTGAAAGCTAGGTGTCTCAGACCGCAAGAGCGCTGCCAGCG